TCTTTGTAAGTTCTAACTAACAGAACTCTTGGCTTAGCAATTCTGTCCAAGCAGATGACCTGTTAAAATATACAGTATGCCCACTTCTTATCATAATATTAGTACACCAAGAAATCTTTCACATGGACTAAGGCCAATGTGCATAAACATAAATAAGATTCTAGACAGATGATTTACCCATCACGGTGTCTCTTCTGCTTCGTCCCTCTTAGTACATCGACCACCTATTTAAACATACAAAGAGTAAATTTTATTTTATTTTGATTGAATTAGGACGATAAACAGCCCGATAAGAGCTAAACCGATATCAATCCTCCCGATATCTTATCGGGTGGCTAGCGGATTAATATATTTAAAAGCCGATAACCGATAAACCAAACTATTAAGAGAAAATAACCGCCTAATCCACTCGATAAGCAGCCCTATTATCTTGAGTCTGGAATAATGGCTCACTAGAAGATCGATGGAGTGTAGCTGGTGGAGGTGGTACGAAAACAGGGGTAGCTGGTGGGGGGTATGGGGTTGCTTTGGCTGGTGAAGCTTGTATGGTTTAGGAAGTGGTGCCATAATAGTGGTAGTATGGGGTGAAGCTTGGTGCATGTTGTGGAGATGAATCAACAGTGGGAGGTTCTTGGGATTGAGCTAGTGGCAGGATGAAAGCAGGGTTGGCGGGGTATGATGGTAGTGGATGCCCTTTCATCCATGCATGGTACATTTCGGACATATGGTTTTTCAACTTATGTAACTCCTCTTTCAAACCAACCTTTGGCTCCTCCATCTCTTTCGGTGGATCAATAATACTTGCGTCCAGTTCTTGGCCAGCCATGATCAACTTGTTTTTAGACCTGGTGTTGTACGGATGGATTTTTAGAATGTCAAACAAACTAACCACCTTCATGTTCTCAATGACAACAACAATTTGTTAGTGTTTAAGATTTAACAGATAGGCAACCGCATATTTGGGATGCAATGCACCGAAACAGTTAAAGCTTCTATCGTGTATTTGAACGGCTGCATGCTTCATCCCGGCTTTTAACTAACTCTTCTCATTTTGTGCTTTCTCTTTTTTTTCTTTTTACTCCAATCCCTCTTTAATCACTATTGGACTTTCCCACTTGATTTTGTTACTTCCCTTTTTATTTTGCACTCGCTTTTCTCTCTCATTTTGCCATCATTTCTTTCCCCTCAGTTTTCTTTTATTTTCTCTCCTCTTTTTCCTTTTCATTTTATGGTTATGATCGAATCCTATGGGGATTTCCTACGTATCATGATGCTGCATGAATCAAATCATTACGTAGTTCAGGGGATAAATGCAAAATAAAAGAAAAATACATTTTTTGGGTTTTCAAATTTTCATAAAATAAAATAAAAACAAAAACATCCTGATTACAACGACTTCTCCTACAGAATTAAACATAAAAACTAACAGACTCGAAAGGTGGACTAACGGACTCCAAAAGAAAAATGAAAATACGAACTCGAAGTGGACTAATGAACTCCAAAAAAACTGAGAATACAGACTCGAACAATAAAATCAGAAATACATGAGTGCCTCAACTGTTGCTCTAGGGGGCCACGGGACATCAGTCGGTCTCGCCGCGGGCCTATGCGCCATATCTTCTTAGAGGTGAAATAGGTCATCCATGATCTGTCGGACAAAAATCATAACTGAAGCGAAGAACATGGACCTGGTCATGTCCTTGCATTCGTTGCACTTCATCACAATGTAGTCCGCAATCCTCCTAACCCTCTCCCTGATAATACCCTTCCTTTGTAGCAACCGTCCGATCTGCTGTGATCTGGACCCCAAAACTTGTTCGGTTGTATGATTTTGCTCTTAAAGTTATTGCAGGTCTTTTTCTAACTGCGACATTAGGGCATATAAGTGTTCTCTTTCTGCTTTGAAGTCTCTTGCCTTCTTGGCCATTTTGTCCTCGAGAGTAGTTAGCTTTTTCTTCAGGTTCGCGACTTCTCTATCATATTTCCTTTTCAACTGCCGAACAAACTCTGCTCGACCCTCTGCGTTCTTTGCCAACTGTGCCCGAGCTCTTGCCAGACTACCTTTAGATTTTTCCAAATCATTCTCGCACTCACATACTTTCTTCTTAAGACCCTTTATGAGTCTTTCATCCGTTCGGTTCCTTTCCTGATTCTCAGCAGCTATCTTCATTTTTTGGATCTGGGCTCGAAGGGCTTTGTTTTTTTGGGACAACTTTTTATTCTCCCCTTCATCAGCAGCATCCTGTACACTGCTATCAAATTTAAGATCTCTGATTTGTCCCTCCAATTTGCTTATTGTGGCCCTGTAGCTTGTCTCTTTTGCCAACCAACCTCATTGCTCCTGCGCCGCATCAGTGAACTATTGGACATGGGGCCTTTTGGCAGGTTGTTTGGGTTCCTGATGGACTTGAGACCTTTTACCATACCAGGCCGTATAACTAGGATCTAACTCGCCTTTGGACAAATCATGTACCTGAGTCTGTGACAGTTTGGTACTTGCCTAGCTGGCGCAGAACCCTGTGTGGAGCATATGGCTGAATACGTTGGAGACCAATTAATAGAAGAAAACACACTTCGGCCAACATATAAATGACTTTAATGACCGGGAGCCAACCGAATGTCCACTCAATTTTGCTTGCAGTCAAAGAACTCAAATGTGCGAACCATGCCTCCGTACCTTCTGGAAACTCATGACCCTCTACCCAGTTTTCATGTTCTTCAATGCATTTAAGATCGGTCATACCATAGTTCATTACCCCGGACGATGGCAAAAGGTGTTCTTCCATCCAAAGTTGTAAAAGCATGTGCAACCCTCAAAAAGTTTCCCCCCGCTCGGCAAACAGTTAGAGCTCGGTAAATCTCTTCTAGGATCATCGGTACAATAGTGCCATTAGCCTTTTTAATCATGAAGTCGGCCATTCCTACGAGCCCCAACTCTATATGTCCATCCTTCCTTGTGCAGATTAAGGAACCCAAGAATGCCACTATAAAGGCCAGTCCCCGATGTGCTTCCCATTTTTATTTATTCCCTGAATGAGTTAGACTAGTATCCGGAGCCTCAAAACCGCGGGGATCTCCATAACGACGGTACATGAAGTATAATGTGCAAAATCCCTCAGCCAAATTTCCATTTTTGACTTCCCGACTGATACTCAGAAGGTTGAGAAACTTGTGAGGAGTCACCGCTCTCGGTGCCACTGGGTATCGGCTCTTGAGATTCCCACTAAGGCCCGCATAGCCCGCTATTTTCTCAAGTGTAGGAGTCAGCTCAAAGTCAGAGAAATGGAATACATTATGCGTTGGGTCCCAAAAAGGTATTAAAGCTTCAATTATATCCAATCTCGGTTTAACCTTCAAAAGACCAGTGAGACCCCCCAAAGTTTTTATCGCAGCACCTCTGATGACCTTTCCTAAGTCATTCCACAACATATGAAGTTCTAGCGGGATTTCCTCTACAACTTTAAAAGGTTTATTTTCAATAGTTCTCATCCGGCACATTTATTTAAAGTGATCGATTAAAAAAATCATGATTTATTTTGACTCAAAAGAAGATTATCAATTTTTTCAAAATTGCAATTCGAAACAAAAACAACTTTGCAAATACGACCCTTCAGCACCTCAGGAAAGAAGATTTTAGGGTTGTGTTCGCTAATTGGCCAAAAAATTTAAAAAGGACCACATGTGGCAATTCTTACAAAAACAGTCTTCTGACGCCCTTTTGGGGACATTTTGGCTATTTAGACAAGAAGGACATCACCTAATTTTATTTATGTCAGCATAACAACATTTCATATTTTTGGGTTATTGTTTTTTTGCAAAAGGAGTTGGACTCGGTGAGGGTTGCCTACGTATCCCACTTCCGGTGAGAATTAAACCCGCGTAGTTCGGTCAATTTTGACGCAACAGAAAAACACAAACACTTTGAAATAGCTTTTGCTCTTCTTTTTTTTTCAAAAAATTTCGGTAGAGTTTTGGGATATTTTGGACACCAAGTTTTTTACAGGCGAGTAATTTCCTCTCTCCTACCTCAATTTGGTTTTTCTCAATTTTTCTTCCCTATTCTAGAAGCCGGTCAACATGTAATCCAAATCAAATAAATGTGCAACTAGCAAGTAAAAATGTATCAGGATGGTCTTTTGATTTCGGGTACACCTGTCCTAGACGGACCCAACCCCTGTGTTGAGTCCCCAAAGTCAAATACACGTGATGCAAACAAGCGTTCCTACTAAGGATCTAGCATAAGACTATGTTTAAAACCTGGGTATATTGTTCTAGACCAGGCTTACCCGTGTGGAGAGCTCGAGCC